TCTGCCCTCACCTGGCCACGCAAACACAACCAGACAACGTGCACGTGCACGTGCACGCGCACGGACCTGCAGGAAGGCCTCCTTACTGAGGATGTGCTCTGGGTTAGCGAAAAAAAGCCGTCGCTCTCTCTCTTTTTAGTCCAGAGTTTCAGTTAATCGCAGCAGGTTTTGTCTGAACGCCGTTACTCAGAGAAAATCGAAAAAGAAAGGAAAAAGAAAGGGAAAAGAAAGGAAAAAGAAAGGAAAAAGAGAGTGGGTCCATCAAAGTGGGTCCTTTTGCTCGGACTCGGACACTGGAACTGACACATCCATTCATTTGTGCACAAGCCAATTAACCCCGTCTCTGACCTGGGGATTTGGCAGTGACCTTTGACCCCGCAGCTCCTCTTCAGCTACCAGCGTCGGAAAACACAGCTCCTTGTCTCCACGGGGAAAAAACACCGTTATAAGCTCTCAAAGCCGCCGTCGCCTCCCATTTTTGTGGCTTTTTTTTCTTTACAGACACTTTAAAATTTTGTTGTATTTTATAAGACCCCTGTCATTTCTTCTGAGAAACACTACTAAACTGTAAACCGAGTTATCCGGGCCGTGAGAAGAATTATTGCAACAAATCAAACAGCTTACGTTGACATTTACAACAAAAAAAACTTTTAGCATTCTGCAGACAACTAAAGAAACACTTTTAAATGTCCTGAAAAAAAACAACCACCTCCATTTGTCATCCCATCAGGTTGTCAAATGCTAAAAGCAATTAACTTCCTGCTTCCTGCTCACCTCAAACCTCAAATCAGATCCACATAAAGAGAATTAAAGTCTGAAGAAGCCCCCCAGAATTCGACACGGGCCTCATTAGAGTCTGAATCCCGGATGCGGTCAAAGCCCGAATCCAATCTAAAAATGAAGACGGTCGAAAGCAAAAGAGGCTCACAGTGAGTTTTCCTAGTCTCTTATCTGCTGATATCAGGGGGTAAACGTTTACCCGGAGACACCACAACCACCGTAAGTGGCTGATACAGTGGGGGAAATAAGTATTTGACCCCTTGCTGATTTTGCAGGTTTGCCCACTTACAAAGAATGCTT